GAGCTCAATCGGCCTCTGCTCAATTCAATGAGGACGAATTACAACACACGCTGCATATTATTTGTCAGATTACAGCCTTTTCCTGAAGATCATTAGTGCAATTAGTCTAAATTAAAGGCGATTGTGTAAAATTGAGAAGTGAAAACCTGAAACAGGGAAATGATTAAATAACTTTCATTTTGTTTCTGATTGTGCTCAGAAAACATGCCTGGGAAGACAGACGAGAACAATTAAATATGAAGGAAATGTCTATTTAGCACTGATGTGAGTAATGATGAAGATAAAGATGATGATGTTAGGGCTGCAACTAATGATTATTTTAATAATCAATTAATCTGTCGATTATTTTTTCCAATTGATCGATGAATCGGATAAAAAAAAAAAAAAACAAGAAACGCATTCATTTCCAACCCTTTATTCAAAAAACCTCATCTCTGAGCTGTTATATTAAGAATAAAATAAAAACTAGCTCAGTACACTGAAAAAAAAACAAAAAAAATCTGTAATTTTGCGGTTTATATCCAGCAGCTAAGGTGCCAAAAAAAGTAAAATAACGGCTGTAAAAAATACAGAAATTTACCGTAAAATAGCGAATAATAAAATCACAGAAATTTACCGTAAAATAACGAATAATAAATCACAAAAACTTACGATAAAATAACGAATAATAAATCACAGAAATTTACCGTAAAATAACGGATAATAAATCACAAAAACTTACGATAAAATAACGAATAATAAATCACAGAAATTTACCGTAAAATAACGGATAATAAATTACAGAAATTTACCGTAAAATAACGAATAATAAATTACAAAAACTTACGGTAAAATAACGAATAATAAATCACAGAAATTAACCGTAAAATAATGGATAATAAATTACAGAAATTTACCGTAAAATAACGAATAATAAATCACAAAAACTTACGGTAAAATAACGAATAATAAAATCACAGAAATATACCGTAAAATAATGGATAATAAATCACAAAAACTTACGGTAAAATATCGAATAATAAATCACAGAAATTTACCATAAAATATAGGATAATAAATTAAAGAAATTTACCGTAAAATAACAAATAATAAATCACAGAAATCAGCCGTAAAATAACAGATAATAAATTACAGAAATTTACCGTAAAATAATGAATAATAAATCACAGAAATTTAATCGCAAAAAAACGGATAATTACAGAAATTTACAGTAAAATAACAGATAATAAATCACAAAAATTTACCTTAAAATAGCGGATAATAAATCACAGAAATTGACCGTAATATAACAGATAATAAATCACAGAAATTAACCGTAAAATAACGGATAATAAATCACAGAAATTGACCGTAATATAACGATTAATAAATTACAGAAATTTACCTTAAAATAACGGATAATAAATTACAGAAATTTACCATAAAATAACGGATAATAAATTATAAAAATTTACAGTAAAATAGCAGATAATAAATTACAGAAATTTGCCATAAAATAACGGATGATAATTATATATAGTTAATTTAACTATATAGATATATATAGTTAAAGTCAGAATTATTTAAGTGGTACTCATTGCAGAGCCACTTGGGCAGAGCTGAGCTCCAGCAAAGGGGAGCTTGAGCTGCCGCTCCTCCTTCCTTGCACTTCTTCTACAAGTGATGTCACTGGGTTTAGGGGTGCAGTGGGTGTATGCATTAAAACAGCTTATAGGAGGAGGAGTTGGAGCTCAAGCTCCCCCTCATTGAAGCCCAAGTGGCTCTGCATTGAACAGTGTCTCAAATTATTAACCCCCCTAAATTAATAGCCCCCTTGTGTATTTTTTCCCAATTTCTGTTTAACGATGAGAAGATTTTTTCTAAACATTTCTTAACATGATAGCTTTAATAACTCATTTCTTATAACTGATTTATTTTATCTTTGCCATGATGACATAAATAATATTTGACTAGATATTTTTAAGACACTTCTATACAGCTTAAAGTGACATTTAAAGGCTTAACTAGGTTAATTAGGTTAGCTAGGCAGGTTAGGGTAATTAGGCAAGTTATTGTATAACGACGGTTTGTTCTATGTACTATCGAAAAAAATAAAGCTTAAAGGGGCTAATAATATTGACCTTAAAATGTTAAAAAAATGTAAAACTGCTTTTGTTCTATTATTATTTATATATATATATACATATACCAGGAAGGCTTCACTGTGGCGCAGTGTGTGGCACGATCGCCTTACAGCAAGATTGTCACGAATAAGTTGGCAGTTCATGCCGCTGTGGTGACCCCAGATTAATAGAGACTAAACCGAAAAGAAAATTAATGAATGCATAAATATACCAGAAAAAATAATGAAATAATGCAAATAAAAATAATGCAAACAATATAAGAAAGATTTAGGATAATATCACAAACCTTCAATGCATCACCCTGAACGCAACACAATGCTAAAATAAGAAAAGAATGACAGAACAGCACTGAACGCAAGCTCTATTTCTCCAGCCTGTTTATTTAGTAATAACTGAAGTCCTTTATAAACAATAACAGCTGAAGGCCAAGGACACGTTTGGATAGACGCCACTTCAAATGTCAGCGGTCAACAAATAAACAATGCACTTCTGCTATTTATAGAGGAGAGGGCAAGAGGGTCAACAGCTCTTCTGCAAATGTTTCCCTAAACTGTCAGAGATGGAAATAAAAGAGTCAAGATCAAGGTGACATCACATTTTATGAACACTGCTGAGGGCTTGTGTGTGTGTGTGTGTGTGTGTGTGTGTGTGTGTGTGTGTGTGTGTGTGTGTGTGTGTGTGTGTGTGTGTGTGTGTGTGTGTGTGTGTGTGTGTGTGTGTGTGTGTGTGTGTGTGTGTGTTTGTGTGTTTGTGTGTGTGTGTGTGTGTGTGTGTGTGTGTGTGTGTGTGTGTGTGTTTGTGTTTGTGTGTGTGTGTGTGTACAGGAATATGTGGTTTACAGGGACACAAAGTTGTACTCTATTAAGGTGGTTTACAGGGTTACATCTTGTGTCACAGTAATTTAAAACGCTTACAAATCTAACGTAACAGGGTCTTTTGCCAGTTTCCTGCATATTGGGACCATATAATAAGTGCTTTTTACAGTATAAAAGACAGAGTATCCAAAATCTATCCTCAAGTATAATATAGTATACAGTACAGTTAAAGTCAAAATGATTCGCCCTCCTGTGATTTTTTTCTTTTTCAAATATTTCCCAAAGGATGTTAAACAGAGGAGCTAGACATTTTTCACAGTATTTCCTATAATATTTTATTTCTGGTGAAAGTCTTCTTGTTTTATATTGACTACAATATAAGCAGTTTTTTAAAACCTTTTTAAGGTGCCGATTTACCCTAGTTAAGCCTTTAAATGTCATTTTAAGCTGTATAGAAGTATCTTGAAAAATATCTAGTCAAATATTATTTACTGTCATCATGACAAAGATAAAAGAAATCAGTTATTATAGATCAGTTATTAAAACTATAGAAATGTGTTGATAAAATCGTCCTTCTATTAAACTGAAATTGTGGAAAGGGGGCTAATAATTCTGACAAATATATATATTTTTTTACATAAAAATGTTTATATATATATATATATATATATATATATATATATATATATATATATATATATATGTATATATATATATATATATAT